TACTGCCTTTGTGTCGCTGAAGCGCCCGATCCCGCAGCCCGGCTGCGAGCAGCACTCAGAGAGCTGGGGGTGCAGGGGGGCACAGGTAAAAGGAGAGAGAACTAAATGGAAAAGACAAGTGGTTTATCTGTCTGCAGTTTGTTCCTTGTCACCTACAGCTTCCTCTTAGTGAATGGATGGCTTTCTTTTCAAAGCAAAAAGGCTTCTCTGGAAAAATTAAAATACTCGCTAGTTTTTACTCACTAATTTAGTATGCAAGAAATGTTAGTTTCTGCTCTCAAACACCAGCAGACAGATGGCAGAAAAAATATAGTAGACTCTGGACTCCCACTGAAAGCTGACCTAGTCTCACCCCTGGCTTTATTGTTTTTCTTTCATAATTAGCTTTTGCTCAGCTTTGTCATTTTCATAAGCCTCGATATTCTTCAATTAACAAAACAGAACAAGAACAACAAGAGCTTAGGCAGCTCATGAGGTCACTTCTTGCAGGGGCTGGATTATGGCACCAAAAGAAGCCTGAAAAGCATGTATTGATCCAGTCTGACAGTTCCTGCCACATTAAGCCTCACCACAGCTGTGATATAAAGGCGCTTAGAGCTGTTATCATAAATACCATCCACTATCTTTAAAGATCATCAAAATTGCTTCACATTGTATAAGAGTTATTGTCATATAATTTGTTCAATGCATTTTAACAGCATAAATTGGTTTAGCATTTTAATACTAGCTTAAAGGTCAAATGCAGATAATTTAAACTAACATTTATCCTATGAAAGTTATCATATAAGCTCAATTTACTGAATGTATGGAATGAAAAACAGTCATCTTTATTATTTTGTTCATTTATCTAAAATCTAAATAAAATAATTTTAAATGTTAAGGCAATTCCAGTTAAGCTGTTGAAGAACATATTTGAGATTATTTGTTAATGTCTATCATATTTAGGATATGATCATAAAGCAAAATATTGTCTTATATTTTGTTCTGTAGAAAGGGGATTATAAGAGAAGAGTATTTATTATCAGAAAGAATGGAAAAATACTGCTACAGCTTTCATGATGAACCAAAGATATTAGGCAGGAAGATATCTAGGGATCTCAACCCCAACCACAGCTGGATGTCTGCTCCTCTGTAGTCCTGCTGTGCACAGAAAACTCCCTTCCAAATTGTGGCTCATTGAACCAACAAAAAATAGAAGATAAATGGCTGTTTGAGGGAAATAAATAAATTAGTGATCATAGGGGCGGAAGGGAGTATAGTCAATAGCATCAGCAAAGACAAATAGGCCAAATCTTGTAAAACACACCTTCCCAATGGGGTGTCCTGGAGTTTTTCTGCTGTAGGAAACTGGTACGACCTACAATAAACTGTTCAATCAACAGAGCTGGAGCAGCAACCAGGTCCCAGAGGAAATTTCTGTTCCCACCCAGAATGTAGCTGGGGAGGAGTCAGTGGCCTGCTGGTCACACTGCCTGGGTGGGACAGGACAGACCCAGACACATCTCCTGAGGCTGATCTGAAGCACAGTCAAACCCAACACTTGTGCTGGCAGGGGTTTGTCTGACATGTGGTTTGTTGCAGAGTTTTTTTCAAACAGTTGTGTAAACAAGTGTTTGGAGGAGCAGGAACTGGAGCAGAGGTTTCCAGCATGGCAACAGACTTCTCTATCATCAAGTTGTAGAGATAGTTTCTCAAATGAGTTGGCCATCTACATACTTAGTTTTTGTACTTTGTGTTTGGGGCAGAAAAGGCAAAAGTAGTCAGGTAAAATCACATTTGTTAACTTTCATATAAATTCTGAAGCCAATAAAAAATTTCCTGGATCATTCTGACTGCATTTTATTTGATCACAGTTTCTAGAGTCAAGATAACTCCCCAGTGCTTGTCCACAGTTGTAACATCATTTATTTTGCAGGATATAGTCAAATTTTACTGGGGCTTGAGCTGATATCCCAAGAGCTCCCCACAGCCTCGTGGCACCCCTCTGTCCATCTCATCCTCACTGGAGCCTGCCCCAGGCTGCAGGATTTGCCTCCTGGGGTCACTGACAAGCTCCTGCCCTCTCACTCCTTGGTGGAGTCAAGAACAAGTGCAGCATTCAGAGCACTAACATCTGTTTGGGGTGAGGTGGGGGAAACACCAAAACCAGACACTTCTCCAAGGGTAAGGAAACAGCAAAAACCAGTGGTGATGCCCTGAACACAATCAACACCCAGGGATTTGAAGCCAGAGGTGTTTCCCAGGCAGGTGAGAAGAGTAAGGGCATGAGTGCTGGGCTGGCACCAATGCAGAATTTGGAAGGCTCCCTTGCTTCCTGTTTTGTCTGGTTAGCCCTAATTTCATGCAATCTGCATGGAGATTTTTATTTTTGTTCCAATCTTTTTCCTTCACTGTTTGAGCAGTCTAATCTGATGAGACAACTACTAATCTAGTCTTAACTCTTCCATGTTTTTTCAAGCCTGATGTTTGTGAGCATTTCTAACAAGCTTCTAACTGTACAAATTAGCTAGTTTAACAAGCATTATAAAGGAGCATGACTGTCTGCATTACCAGAGGTCTTGCTGGTTATGATATTGTGAGATGAAAGATTGAGTGCATGAATCATTTGTAATAACAAATTTGACTTTTTATTCTATTCATGAATAGTCCAGAAAACAAGCTGGTTATGTCAAACAGTTTTATAATTGAAATTATTTTGGCCTTTTTCCACTTATTTTTGGTATTTTTCCTCTGGAGACACAGGGGTGGAGGGAATCTCTTTTTTTGTTTGGGATTCCTTTTCTTCCTTTTATTAGAGAAAAAGGAAACTTGAAAACCTGCAAAACCATTGTCACTTTAAATTTCGGTTTCAGTGACAAAACAATAACTAAAAACCAGCCCTTTTTCCTTTTTATCTAGAAGTAATAACAAAAGAATTGAAGAATTTTATCTCATTGGACAAATAATTGGCAGTACTGTTCCTCTTTTTTATTGTCACTGGAAACTTCTGGTGTTGTTCCTTCAGTGGGATTCCCAGTTAAAGGCAGCACATTGTAAAATCTGCTGATAATACTCCATACTCCTGGCACAGCACACCTACTCTCCTCTAAACTATGCTTCATTTTACAATGTGAAGAGGTGTCTGTGTCACTTCTTTGAGCAGAATCACAAGTGAATCTCTGAACCACCCATGAATTTCATTGTTGCACCACAGAAGGTGCGTTGGGAATGACCCAGTGTGCAGTAGTTACCATGATCACTTCATTTTTGTCAGCTGCTGATAGGAAAAAACCACATATTATACACAGAAAGGAATAGCAGGAAGCCTAAGAATTACTGTGTTGTGGTTTTTTCCCTTGTCTTGGGGGGTTTTTGTGCAAACAGTGTTATTTATATGAAAGGCAGAATCAACTATTTTATTGCCTTTTTTTCTCCTGTATCGATGCAAGGTGAGATGCCAACACCTAGTTTCCTTTTCACCTGTACCAGCTTATGTAAGAATTTCATGAGTTTTAGTAGAGTTAATCTGATTCATTGAGATCTAAAAGAGATCTATCTTTAGAGCAAAAAGTCAGCCTTGTAAATAGCACATACTGAGAACAATTTGAAGCGGCTTCTGTGATAACAGATATCATGTCTTTTATTTAAAAATGCTACTTGTCTAGATGTGTCGCCATCACTGTATTGCCATAGTAATCCTATAAAGAACTTGTCTTATACAAAATCTCTAAGGAGTTTCATTTTGCTCCGATAGGATGTGATCATATTATTTGCCTTTCTAAACATGAGAGTATCAGAAGAAATATCACACTGGAGACCTGAATTTGCCCATGCCCTTACTACCTCCTTTTCAATGGGTGTTCAGAAGTGGAGGAGACTCAACCTTTTGAATTCATACAAATTCCAAAGGCTACTCATATAAACCTTAACATTTCAGCTGGGGTGTACCTTACAGCACACTGTCACATTGGCCCCAGAACCACTGAATTGCAGAGGTTGGAAGGGATGTCTAGAGGGCATCTGGTCCAACTGCTCTGCCCAAGCAGAAAACTAATCGAAACAATGAGATAATTTTTTGGGAATTTGGAAATCCTATGAATGTAAGCTACATAAATTACTGTTAGAAACCAGGTGAAAATAGCCCATGCTCAACCAGAGATTTAACAAAACTAGTTCAAACCTTGCATCTTTCCTTCTAATACCTACAGGTGCAAAAACAAATTAACTTTTCACATGTTTTCGCTCCCACCACACCTTGGAAATACCTGTGTGTGTGCACACAAGTCCATGCAGCAGTTCCCTGAGACAGAGCCCAGCCCTGAGCACTGACATACGTTCCTACCTACGCCGCACATGTTGAGCTGTCACATCGCCTACGGCACAGCCCGACACGCGAGGATGAGAGATGGGCAGGGAATGCTTTGAAGCTGCTCTGTCAGGGCTCGAGACTGAAGGATTATCCAACTGTTCTCAATAGTGCTACCAGCTGCAATGTATTCTCACTTAGACATTCCTGAAAGCAAAGTGGTCTGGTCATCTGGAAAGGTGAAATATCCCATCGTTTTGTTCTCTCGCTGTGGGGACAGTGAGGCTGTGATTGATACAAAAAGACTCCTTAATGAGAGGTCCCAGATAATCTTTGTGGCTCATTTTTGGGTGTGGTTTTTTTCTGTCAGCTTTATTGATGAATGAATATCAGTATTTTATAAAAAAGACCCCTACACAAGTTAGTAATATTTCAGGGGTTATAGACTACCATGGTTTGGCAGGAAATGTAAAATTTAGTTAATAATTTGTATGCTGTTTTGTTGCACTTATCATCTAAACTCTTCATGACAAATAGAAATTTTACTAATTTTGTATGGAATTTATATTCTTTATTTTAAGAGTAAAAGGAACAGACCAGAGCGAGCTATATACCCAAGAAAAAAATTATTGAAAAGAAAGTGATTGTCATTTGAGATATTGTCACCTCAGGAAAAAAAATATACAGCAATATGACTAATTTTTTCTCTTTTTAGGGTTTGTAACAAGGTCAAAGTCATTCATCCAATGTGTTTGGGATTAAAACACAGAAAAGAGATGTGACTCAGAGTGATGTTCAGACTCATGGATCCCTCACACAGAAGACATCTCCAGACTCTTCACTCCTCCTTCCTGTTGCAGTGCTTTCTTAAGCACTTCCCAAACATCTCTTATGCTGATTCCTTAAGCTATTTCAATATTTAATCTGAACCAGCCTTTTCTTTCTTCACACCCTCCTTTCTTCTTCCTCTGTCTAAATCTCTTGCTCAAGATCTTATACCAAATAAATGATGAAAGGTAAAAACAAACAAACAAACAAACAAACAAACAAAAAAAAACCAAAAAAACCCAAAAAAACCCAAAAAAAAAATAAAGGAGGATACACTGACTGCAAGAACAGAGTGACTGTGATGTGTGCGTGTTACAAAATTAGTGACCTCAGGAAATGATTTTGTGTAATCCTCGACCTATCCTTTGCTACTGCAGTCATGAGTGTTTCTGTCCTGGATGTTAAATCATGACTGTCACATACAAGAAGGGAAGACATTTTAATTACTGGTTTTAGTCATTCAGATGCTTTTATTCTGGCTCACATTTAGTGTGATGAGAATGTATCCTTGCTCCCTCTGACACAAATACCCCATTCTGACACAAGTGTCTGTGCACAGAGAATAACCTAAGCCTGAGGCCCTGTAAGTCAGCCTTTCAGGGAAGGAGAAACCAGTGACACCATGTCTGGGTATATTCTAAGTATAAATAGTTTTGTTTATGTATATAAACCAGGCCTGGTGGTAGAATTGGTAAAACAGCATTTTGTTCCAGGCGGTTATTTCTTTAAGGAATATTTGCTTAACAGTCATTTTTGGTTGTCAGAGAATAATTATCCTAATAATAAATACTTAATTAGAGAGGAAAGGCCATAGAATATACCAGTGTCCTCTAGCTTTTTTCAGACTCTAGTGTTAAAAAGGCAAATGTACGTGTCATCTCAAATGGAAATTTTGCACATGTGCCAGGGACTTGAAAAGCTAAATATAAAAGTAGCACTTAAAAACACTTGCCATAATAATATTTTCTTCTTTAGCCAATATTCCAGTGCATTTATTGCTTGTCATTACTTCAAACTATTGGACTTTGACCCTTTGAAGTCTGTGGCATATGCTGAAAATTAAGCAAGTCTTAAGTATTTAAAGGATTGGTTTCACTTCAAAATAGCTAGTATATTTAACTTCCAGCACTAATTCTAAACTTCTGTCTTCAGCAAATTGTGTCTCATGATGACAATAAGCACACTCATTCTGTGTGTCTGTGACTTTTTACAGTAGTTATATACCCTATGTTTTCCCAAAGTGCTTGTGGTCAAAGCATGTGGCTGTGCAAAGCCATGGCACAAAAGGTGGTACCACCTTGAGCTGACAAGCTTTTCAAGGAGTGTGAAGTCCAGAGTATGAAACAAATTACAGCTTTGGTCTGATAATAATGCATGTGATCAGCCAAGAACAAATATATGTGGATTATAACTTACAAGTTTTTTTACAAGTGACATTATTCAGGATTTATGGTCCAAACTCCTGGCAAAATTGAAAATCATAGCCCAAACACAGTGTGGTGGAGATTGGAATAATTTAGCAACTCATTATGTCAGAGTTTCTTTGACAGAGTGATAATGGCTGTTGTCCATCCCTTAACCCTCTCCAGGCCTGTAAGAGCTCACATGGTTTTTGCAGGAGTGTTTCTTTACCTGCTGAGGCAGATGGGAGCCTGCCTCCTTGCTGCAATGCCTTTCTGCTCAGCTGAGACCCTGCTACAGAAATAATTGAGGGCATGGGGGTGGAGGATCAAGCAGCACACAGACTGCATGGTTACTACGTGCATTTCTCAGAGATAAGCAGAAAGGATGGTGATTGTTCCCATTAATGTCACTTCCATCTCTTTGGTACGAAGATGGGTTGAGTCTTAATGAAGGAACTTTGGCCAAACTGGCAGAAGAGGATTGGAGGGTCCCTTATTCCCCGTGCTCAGGGATTTTTTCCATACAAGGATATAATTTAAATGGAAGACCTAAACTACAAACTGCAAACTTTTCCAGTGTGATGCATCAACCTCCTTGGATTAACACAATAACCACACAGAGACTTTGCAGTTGCCTTTAGGGCCAGAGAGTTCAGTTTTATGGAACTTGGGGAAAAGTCTGAAGTCTGTTTGTCCAAGTATAAGCTGACATTCCCACAGTATGAACACACAGGCCATAACACTCAAATCCTGTTCTACAGGTTGGTATATCCCAATTTAAGCATGCTGTTTTCCTCCATGGGGTCACATACCAGCTGAGGAAGACAGTGGGTCATAAATAGTGAGTTGCAGTTTAGCTTGCCAGGGTGTCCTAAGCAGAATACAATATTTGAGACAATACAATGATTGCAAAATCCTTAAATCCTTTCCTAACATTAAGACTGCAATTATCCCATAAACTTAATGGGACTGCTGTCATAATTGATGTCAGACATAGCTTAGTTATCTACATGAACATCGCTCAGAACCACAGACTCAATTACGTTGGAAAAGAACTCCGAGATTAAATCCAACCTATGGACCCATCACCACCTTGCCAACCAGACCATGGCACTGAGTGCCATGTCCAGTCTTTTCTTAAACACCTCCGGGGATGGTGAATCCACCACCTCCATGGGCAGCCCATTCCAATGTCTAATCACCCTTTCTGTGATGAATTTCATCCTAATGTCCAGCCTAAACGTCTCTTGCTGCAGCTCAAGACTGTGTCCACTTATCCTGCTGCCAGTGGCCTGGCAGATAATAGACAAATGACAATTATCACTTCCCTTAAAAAATGCACTGCAAATTTCTTGCTCTTGCTGTGTGGAAGGGTTTGAAGAAAACCAAAATAGAACAGAAGTTTTTACTCACTTGAAAATCCTAGGTCAGCCTGAAGTAATTCTGGGTACAGACGAGATCTGCTTTTGGAGACAGCATGCACAGAGGAACACGGTGATTTGTGCCACACCTTGAGGACTTTCACTTCATGTCCTGAGAGACTGTTAATGACTTATGTTGAAGGTTTTGAAATGAAAGATGTCTTAGACAATAAAATCTCCTTTAGCTCTATTTACATTGAAGATACGGGGGTTTTCCAGCACTGCAATACTGTGTTTCATTTCAGATGGGTTAATTTCTGTGGTTACACATAAAAAAGACTGATTCATGTCAGAATCAAAATGGTTTTTGATTGCACACAGAGAAATAATGATCTGTGAGCCAATAAAAATTAATTATGCACCATGTAAAACTGCTTTCTCAACCTAAGCCATTATTGGTTTTAATTTTCTTTTTTATAAGTCTATTTGAAAGCCAAAAGAAAACAACTTGAATTCAAAGTTCATTTTTAGAATCTAGGAACTAAATATTTGATCATATTTAAGTTAATGCATCTGTATTTTTGAGTTCTTTCATACCTTTTTTCTTGACTGAAATGGGTTTCAATGTTTAGCCATTTTAGTATGTTAATTAAGTGTTAATTTCTGCTGCCTGTCTCAATCCAAAATTCCATTTCTGGGAGGATATCACTTGCTAACAACCTCCTTGTCAGTTCTCAATAGGGAATGACATTTAAAAAGTGGAGAAAGCACTCTGAAAATGATAGATTTCGTAGGAGTAGCAGGGTTAGCTCAAATGTGTTTTTGTGAACTGGGCACTCTATCTTTTGAGTAATAGGTGATGGGTAATTTTATTAAGTAACCTAAAACCTAAAATCAAGATGAAAATGAGGACATTTAGAAGGCCCTCCATCTTAGACAGAACAGCCAAGTACAAGGACCTGACAGGTATGATAAAGAGCTTAGATGTTCTTCTAATATTGTTCTTGCCATAAGCCCCCAGGCTTTGTTCTACATGCTTAGTTAAACTGTTTTTATCTTACATAAATCCTGGTAAGCTACTTTAAGATCCATCAGACTACCTCAATTGCCATTTAAGTGTTTTTTTCTGCACTAACTGCTTCTTGTTAAATAGTTTGACATTTATGTGTCTAGACTTGGGTTGTTTTGATATTGATTTTGGAAAGAATGATAATGGAGTATAGTGGTAATATTACTTTTGCTGTCATACCTAGTAGCAATATATCTCTTTGAACTTGTGTTAGGAGCAAAATCCACACATATGTAGGTCTAAATTTAGGAGGTTCTTCAAAGCTACTATTCTGCTTTTGTTATTTTTCTGCTGCTACTAATATTTCTTCCTTACTTTACTGAGAATCTTTATTTTGAGAAAAATATGTCAGAACACAAAGCTTCCAGGTCACTGTCTGCACAGGAAAGAAGGTTGTGCTATCAGCTAACTCCCTCCCTTCTCCCTCACTAATGACCTTACTGTGGGTATGGAAAGCTGCTTTCTGTGGATGCTTAAAGTGTACATAATAAGCCAATCACTTTTAAGACGTTTACTGCTATCTGTTAAATGAGATGAGCTTTAGGCTGACTTTCCAGTTCATCCCCCACCCCAATGTGTTTTGTTGTTTGCCTGTCTCAGATCAAAATACTGGAAAGAGTCCCATTTTTCTGGCTTTGGTTTAAATTGAGTTGCCTAACATACAGCTAAAAAAAGTATTTTAGGCAGAAAATGAGGAAGTCACCAATTTTCAAGAAAAAAAACCCTCCACTATGAGACAGGAAGCTCTAAACTATGAGATACACAGGCCATTAAAAGCAAAGTCAACCATCAACATTTTAGCACCAATACAGCTTTACTATATTGGTATTAAAATATTACATCAAATATTGTACCAACTTTGTATGCTAAAATCTTCAAAGCTAAGCTGATGACAGCTTTGACCTTTAAAACTGCCCAGGTGCTTTCCTCAGCTTAAATTTCAAGCCTTTGATAGAATAAGGATATGGAGGTCAGCTTTTGTGAGCAGAAAGAAAGAGATTTCACCTAGAAGCAACTGAGTTAGACTTTTTCATGCCTTTTTTTTCTCTGCCTCTTCCACAGGGGTTTCTGTTCCTCTGTTCTCATCCTCTTGCTTCCACACCCTGCTGATAACTGGGGCAGGGGAGGTGTGTTGGGATGGGCACACAGGGATGACACTTCAGCTGCTGCAGCTGAGTCCTGGTGTGTCCTCAGTTTTACAGGTCTCCAAGCTGCCACAGCTCTGCTGTCCTTCCAATAATTAGATATGAGCAACATCAAAAAGGGCATTTCTGGTCTAAGCAAATATATATGAACTAGTCAGTAAGAAAATACACCAATATTAAATATATAAGTTGAGAGCATGTAAGGTAGTAGTTTCCTGTAAATTCCTGAAAATGCAGAAAATCACATATAATCTGCTTTTTCTATATTTTTACACTC